CCCTTGATGGAATTATCTTGACAGTCCCACTGAAACCAATTTTCCACAGATTTAATTGCTAGCAGTTGATATTCAAAGAGGATATTAGGACTGTAGAATATTATGGGCAGTCTTCCTTGGCCCAAACAGACATAGCAAGAAGACAGTTCCTGTTGTTCTTGATCACTACAATCTCTCTCTCTCTCTCTCTCTCTCTCTCTCTCTTTTATTAACTTATTAGGCCAGGTACTTTTACCCCAAAGGGTTTATTTTGGTCTGTGCAACTGCAGACACGCAATGAGAATTGTAACTATTTCCCTGTGGTTGAATTCAGATAAGGATGCAACAGGTTCTACCACACAGCCCAGTCATAGTACCATACGAGAAGAACTAACAAGTTAAAAGTATATGTTTTTTCTCATTGAAAGATAGTGAGTTGTCCCCTATAATTTGGACCATGTACCAATCTGTGTGAGATCTTACATGCTTGCTCAATAGTTGATGGAACTATTGGGATAACTGTGGGAAGATGAGCTCCAGAAATACTCCTACCTTGCCCTTTGCCTACATACAATACTTTTTTTCTTTTTGGCTCCCATACCATATTCTTAAATATTTTTTAATTTTTCTGCTGATGTTTACTTACACTCCAAAAAGTGTAGACTGGTTTTAATTCCACACAGTACTAGCCACACAGACTTTATAAAGAAGCTCTTCTGGTAGTAAATACTATTCCAGGGAAACTTACTGATGACACAGCTAAACAATATACAGTAGTTACTATTTTTTTTTAAGTATTAGGACCTACAAATATTGTTCAACCACATAATGTTCCCCAAAGTTTCTTCAATAAACATGAGATTCGGTTCAACTGCTCTTGTACAAAGAAAGCAAGAATCCTCTTTTCTGAATGGCTTTTGTTAAGGCTAGGAATCCAAATCCTGAAACTAAACTGTGGGTTTTGTTGACCTTTAGTATTACTTTGTGGAATGGCAAAGGGGGAGGAGCAGGCAGAGAAGCAAGAGTTGATAAAATCCAAGCCAACCTCTTGGTCGGTCGGAAGTTATAAAAGGATACACTCTGCTCTCGTCAAAGACAAAATAGTTCCACAGTCACTAATTGGTAGTTGGACGTTGTGTCTAAAACTTTTAAAAACAACCTCTGAAAGATGAAACAAAGAGTTCTATGGCACATAATGACTAACTGTTTACTATAGCATAAGCTTTTGGGAACTACAGCCCACTTAAATATGAAATGTTGTACACTGTAGCACTACAGACAGTCATTATATCACTTCTACGTAAGGTTCTCTGTTGTTGCCATCAGCAATAAAGCCTTGCAGAAGTTGTTTTTAAAAGCTTGTTTGTTTGCTTGCTACCCTTTTTTCACGAATGGAGATTTCAGAGACCTGCTCTTGAAAAAGAGCTCTGCTCTCTGTTCCCCCCCCCCAATAATAATCCCAAAACTCAGAGTAAGACAGCATCAACAAAGTGCACGCAGCCAGGCTGAAAGTCACATGTGCATGCACCACTGCAAGACCTTGCTTTCAATGTGCCTTTTGTTTGATGGCTGGTGTTTCAACATCCTCAACTTCAGCAGAAAAAGGTCAGCCCTAGTTTTCTGGCATTCATAAATCTGAATCAGGCCCTGCCAAAAGTAAGAGTGATGTGGTAGTAAATTTGCCTCAGTGAGGAAGAAACAGAAGTTGGAGGCAGGGACAAACTTTGCAAGATGGATCTCAATTCTCTCCTAAGAGGAGACACATGCTTAAAATTATGCAGTTCAACTTGCTTCCTTTTTCCATCAAAACCTATTTATTCCTCAGTAAGGTATGCTGATACATAAATACTTACTCTTGCATGTTTGCAAATAATTCACAACAATTACTAACCAACTTTTTTTTAAAAATCGCCTGTCATTTGTACCCGAGTTAGTCACTTGTAAATATAAAAAGGGTGGGAGAGAAGAGTCTAGGATCTTCCCTGCCAGGTCTCTACTATAATGTAAATAAGAAGCAACTTTTCTCTTGTAGAACTTGGCAGTTTCTAAGCTGCCCTTTCCAGGCTACATCTTAACATTCCTGTGTTAGTCATTGATGGCCTAGGAAGAAAGAAAACTGACTTTTTTTGTAAAAAGAAAGAAAAAGAAACATTTCCTATCAAGTTGCTTGGAGGCATTTCCCATTCACCCGAGGCAACTAGGCAAACACTATTTACATAGGCCTGCATTGTAGAGTTTGGTTACTGAAACAGTAATATATCCATTTTAAACAGTCCATAAACCCAGCATTGTTGTTCCCAAAGCAGACCACAACAATTCCTTTAGCTCACACAATTGTGCAATCATCACATGAGAAGTTACACCATTTTACAGAGGGATGAAAAGAGACCAACCTGACCCAATGAATCCACAACTTCCACTTGAACTTTGGCCCAACTCTGACCCATTCATAGGCTAAGACCAAGCTGGGCAACCACGAATCCTGTAATCCTCATTTGTAAACTTCCCCACTGCATCATCCCAGTCTCCAGAACGGAAACCATGACATCTTTTTCGGAGCAACCCCACCATTAATGTTTCCAGTGTCTACAGCCAAGTCCCATGCTGCAGCTTCACGACAAGCTCGGAGTTGCTAAACACAGTACAGAAAATTGTTGTTGCCGTGTTATCAAGCAAATCAAGGCAAGAAGGAGCCCCCACTCCACCAGAACTTTGAATAGGCTTTTGCCCTTTCAGATGTTATAAGCCCATCGCCTTGCAGGGGCACAAAGCTGCATTCAGAGTTTCTAAACAGCTATTTTCATCTGTAAAAGAAAGCACAGCTAGGTAGCACCCCTAAGACTGCACCCAAGCATTCATCTCCCTCCTCTCCTATTCCTGCTCTTTTACTGTCTCTTGGAAACCTTTGAGACGGCATTTGTTCAAGCTGCCAAGTTAAATCCTCCACTCTCATGTCAATGCATGGGGAGGCGGGGTGGTGGGGAAGAGATCAGTCAGAATTCCCAGTCTCGCTTAGGCCCGGCTGAAGTAGACACAGACACACCAACATGTGTGAATGCATGCACCCAGTTCTTTCCCCTAGAGAATCATTAAGTCCTCTGCAGATCAGTAACTAAAGCTCCCAAATATATACAAGTATAGAAAAGCAGACCTCGATGATGACAGGGAGCTGGGACTTTAATACACTGGCTGCTGCCTCAGCCTCCTTCCCTATCTGCAGGCTTACAGGATCTCCCTGCTACCTAGGGTGAAGCATCCAACCGAGCCAAACATCCTATTCCGCCTTGCTGCTCCCTTTTCATCCCCTCTCTTCCTTGTCTTATTTAAGAATATTTGGGATTGCAGAGGCAAAAAAAAGGCAACATGCATTTCAGAAGTTCTCTCTTACAAAAAAAATAAGTTAACAACAAGATCCAAGCCTTCACACGTGTTCCCAACACACATATTGATACAAAGGTTTGCAGGGCAGGAACAGAACAGGAACTTCTAGATCGCCACCCCAACCCATTCCATCTCTCTCTTTTTTTTTTTTTTTCAAAAGTCAACTGAGCGAGATCAGGGCAAGCAATCGCAGGCTAAACTCAGAGGGCTCCTATTTTTTTTAATGTTTACATTCAGCAAGTGCCTTTTAACTGCCATTGTGGGTTTCATCCATATAGGTATCCACACACAAGACACACAATTTCCCTCTGTCTTTAATTGCAGCCAGCCAGCCCAAGCTACTCTCCCGTGAAAACGATCCCCTCCTCTTTCCCCCACCCCAATAGCAAGAAAGCAGGAATTCGTCTCTCTCTCTCTCTTTCCTCCACCCCCCCCCGGCTTCCTGGACAGATGTACAAGGGGGAGAAAGGAGAGAGAGAGAGAGAGAGAGACAGAGAGATAGAAAGGGGGGAGGGGAAAAAAAAGCTTCCTGGCTTTCCCCTCCTGCCCTGCAAAAGAGGCCCCAAGTCCCAACTGGCTTTCAGAATCCAGACACAAGGAATTTACACTCGGCCAGGCTTCTCAACGCCCGGAAAACAAGCTCAGCCTTTCCGATCGCTGAGGTCCCTGGTTGTGCGGCTGGCAAACGAAGTCCCTTTTCGAAACCCAGTTAGCAAAAGTAAGAAAAGCCGGTCGGGGAAGGGAGGAGGGGGAAAAGCCAGCCACCGGTAGACAGCGAGAAAAAGGCGGCGGGTGGAGTGGGGGGGGGAAGAGAGAGAGAAAGAGAAGAAGAAACCCAACCAGAAGCTCCCGGCTTATTTTTAAACCTCCTTTGTTTTTATAGAACAAGATCATTTCGCCGCCCGCCGCCGCCGCCCCCTCCCAAACTCCGGATCAAGCGTGCCGAAATAGCAACCTTGTTTTCGGTTTCCAAACTTCAGACACCCCCCCACCAAAAAAAAAACACCTTTTGACCCTCAAAACTGGGGAGGCTGCCTTTCTTTGGCGTTCTTTGCCATCCGCCCCCGACATGCCCACCTCCTTCTGGTCTCTCTCTCTCTCTTTTTAAGGGGAAAAAAGCGATTCTTAGTCAAGGTTTGGCGGCTCGCTTTCTTAAATCGCTCTCCTCCTTTCCACCACCCCCCCGGCTCTCCGCCGTCGCGAAAAAAAGCAAAATATTAACGTAGCGAGCTACATTTGAGTACACCCCCTTTCCCCCACCTTTCCTGGAGATCTCCCGGGTTTACCTCCTCTGCCTCATGAAGCCCCACATTGCTGAACAACACACAGACCCACAACCGGCCCCTTTAAGGAGTCTTCATACTCTTTTTCCTGGATTTCTCTCCCGCCCCCCACGCCTTTTCCAGTCTTCACACCAAACATAAAACACACGTACACACACACAATATCTATCTATCTATCTATATATGTATGCATGTATATATCTCTATATATACACACACACACATATAAATCTCTCTCTCGTTTCTGCATTTTCATATTCTTGCTTTACTCCCATTGTTTCTCCAGCCCCGGTCGGAACCCCAAAGCTGAAAGGACAGATGTGAATGAACTGAGCGAGCGAGCGAGACGAAACTTACCTACGGCTTTTAGGGGGGCAAAAGGAGCAAGGTCTGGCAAGCCGGGAGCAAAATTCATAAGGAAGAAGCAGGCAGTGGAAATTAAAAAAAAAAACAGGAAAAAAATTAAATATAAAAAAAATTAAAAATATTCCCTCTTCCCCGTGGATGTGCAGGTCTTGTTCAGGTGGCTTTTGGATTAATTATTTTTAGTTAGTTTGGGGGGTTCTTTTCCCAAAAAAGAAAACCACACACACAAAAAAACACCCCGTCTCTTATTTCTTGCCTTTAAAAAAAAAACACCTCCCACAGACAGTGAAAAGGAGCTCAGTGTTAGTGGAAGAATAAGTGAATCAACTAGCAGAGAGCAGAGCAAGTTGAAGTGTCAAATTACATTGGCTATTTTATTACCAAAGGGCCCAGCTTCTGGCTGTTGGCAAAATCTGTCCCAGATTCCTATCTGAAAGGGAGCTGTCTCTCGCTCGCTCGCTCTCCTACAGGGATGCTTCGCTTCCTCTTCCTCTCTCTCTCTCTCTCCCTCTGCTTGTCTTCTCCTCTTCAACCCCACCTTCTGACCACCTAAAGTTAAAATCTTTACGAGCCAAGCTGCACAACGCAAATAATTGTCTTGCAATATTTTCCCCCTTTCTCCCCCCCCCCCAGACCCTCATCAAAGGAAAGAACTTCCTGTCTAGAGAGCACCGAGTGGAGCATTGCATTGCCCGGGTGTTTATAAAAATCAACTGGCGACGCGAAGGTAGGGGTGTGTTGTGAGGGGGGGGGAGAGACACACACAGATACGCAACCTTCTGCAGCCCCCACCCCCTAAAGACCCCCATCCGTACAGGGGAAAAAAATAATCTCCCCGCTCACTCCTGCGCGAAACGGATGCACTTGGGAAGTGAGCGATGCTTGACGCGCTCATTTAAGGTTATTGTTTTACACGCTTCCCCCCCATACACACACATGGATCTATGAATGGAAACTGGATTTGATCAGAACGTGGGGAAAAGATTGAGTGTTTCGATATACAGTATTTCCGTCTGCATTTGGGCGGGGGGGGAGGGCTGTGTGAATTATTTAATAGCTAAAACAACGGTCGCTTTAATTATGGTGAACGAGCCCTCACACCCCGGGTCGTAGCCCGGTGCTGCTGCTTTTGATGGCCATGCGGTCGGATCCTGGTCACTCAGTGGTGAAACCTACAGAGATTCCCCGAGACTTGCTCCCGGGTCAGGCGCGCATGCCGCCGCCGCCGCCACTTGCCCGATCCTGGGGGCGCTTCGCAGGCACAGGAGCCCCACGGAACACGCGGGCACTTACTTCAGAGTAAACAATGAAACCGGGGTGGTGGTGGTTCATAAGGGGAGGGGAGGGGGCCATGGAAGGCAAAGCGTGCCATGGAAGGGATTTTTGGCCTCTCCTCCTCCTCCCCCCCCTCCCCAGCAATGGTTGAA